TTAATTAAAAAAAAAGAAACCCCAAAACCAAACAATGCCCCCTTTCTTCCCCATTTCTTTGATCTCTCTCCCTCTCTCCGTCTCTCTCTGAGAGAGATTTCCTTCTACCTTCTATCTTCTACCTTCCCTAGCCCAAGTAAAAACCCTCCTAATCCCCCTTAATTTACACAACTTGCCGCTCTTCCTACCCGTGTGCCTCCAACTTCATTGAAAAAATCCCGCAAACCCTATCTTTATTTTTCGAACTTTTAGTTTTTCTTCTTCTTCTTCTGCTGCTGCTGTATCTAGGGTTTTCTTTTTAGGTTGGTTTGTAAAGTATGGAGAGATCCGATGGCAAACCTCCCTACAACCTCTCTCAAACTTCCTCAGGTTTTTTTTTTCCTTCATTTTTGTTTCAATCCTTTCATTGTTTATTTTCTTTTTTCCTTTTTTTATGGATTTTTCCCTTTTACTTAATAGCATGTTTCTATTGATGCGAAAGAAAATAATATTTCGTTTGGAAAATTTGGACCTTTACTTCATTTTCTCAGTTACCAAACGGGTCTTAACTGTTAACCACTAGCTTTATTGTCTTTGCTTGATTGCTTGTTTACCAAAGCTTTGTTTTTTTTTTCTTCCTATTTTGTTAGTTTTAATTCTGGGGCTTGCTTTTAGAGATTTTGTTTTTTCTTCTATTTCTTGCGATTTGATGGTTTCTTAAGCTGTATTATGTTGATTGATCGGGTTCTATGGTTTTATTTAATTGCTAATTAGTTAGTGATTTCACAGATAATGCGCTTTTTGATGCATCCCAGTACGAATTTTTTGGTCAACATGCTATGGAAGACGTGGAGTTGGGGGGTCTAGAAGATGGTGAAGAGGATGCTCCTGTGTTTGCATCTGCTGAAGATGACGAGTATCATTTGTTTGATAGAGGAGAGGTAGGTTTCATCCCTTTGGTTTCCCAGTTTGCTGCGAATCCTGGTGTCTTTGCCGCTGAACCTTCGTCATTGCTTTGTAGCTAGTACTACCTTTTCATTCCATTATGTGATAATATTTTGTTATTGCCCCTAAAAAGTAATTTTTGTTGGAGTTTCTTTTGACCATAAAATTTGTCATGGTGTTTGTTGGCCTTTAATTTCTTATTTGTCACTTGAGCTGTAGTCTAAGTTGTTTCATAACTTAACATGTGTCATATTAACACTTGGCAATTGGAACTTACCTTATTATGCTTTGCAGCTTTAATTTAAAGTATGAATACTCTATCTTTGAATGATAAAAAGTTCTATTTCTTGGTCATTTTGGAAATTAAATTTTTAGAATCTTAATAAAAGATTACGCCTGTCAGTTTGAAATTTCAAAATTGCTACTTATTTAAAGTAGTCAGACAAAAATTAGGTTTTAAGGATTGAAATTTTTAAAATTGCAACTTGTTTAAGGTAGTGAGAAAACAATTAGGTTTCAAGGGTTCCTCACTAAAATTTTAAAATGCCTATAAGAAGATTATGCTTATCAGTTTGAAATTTCTAAATTGCTACTTATTTAAGGTTGTCGGACGATAATTGGGTTTCAAAGCTTCCTTGGTATGTGTTCCAAATTTTGTTGTTCAAGTGAAGGGAGTTGTTGATTTGAAATTTAGTTATGTTCTCTATCCATTTGACCCTTTGGTACATGTGTGATCAATTTGAGGACATTAAGATGTATGAAAGCATCTTACCGTTTATATTTATTCTACAAGCATGTCCTTGTAAAAGCATCATGATTGTATGTTGAAATTTGAAATTAAGGGTAATATGGGATAGAAAAAGTAGTTGCTTTAATTGTTGACAAGGGGTACCCTAAAGCAGAAAGATGCACTCATAAAATAAAGCTTTAACAGAACATATGATTCCTATATTTATATTGTCATACTTCAAGTGAAGCACTTATTGTATTAGCTTTCTGCTGCATTTTGTTCATGCTGTGAAGGAATTTATGCCATTGTTTTTTGCAGTCATGCACATTGATTTTATTTTGTCTTATTTTTAATTTTTTTGTTGATATTACTTTCATCCCTTCTGGTTTATGAAGTAATAAATCATCTGCTAAACTCAATCTTGATTTCATCTTTCATCTTTATGGATTTTGAAATATGACTATTTCAGCTTTAATTTTCCTTTTTTCATTTGCAGGTTGTAGGTTTAGGATCTTTATCTGATATGGATGATCTGGCTAGTACTTTTGCAAAGGTAAATTTTTTAATTTATAAATGTTGCAGTGTGATGAATGCCAATAGTTAACATTTCTCACTGACTGTTGCTTATAAGATTTGATATGCTTGTTTCTTGAGTTTTTGATGGCCTTTATATTTAATTGATCTTTTCGCGGAAATGTTTGGATTTTTGTTTTTGTTTTATGTTTAGTTATATAACATTGACTTGGTTCTGTATTGCGTAGAGAAGTTTTTTGTTAAAAATTATGGCTTGACTTTTAGTCAGGAATGCCAATTGTGGGTAGTGTGTGATCTATGCATAATTTTCTTGCATAACAAATGGATCAATAATGTATTATGATGTGAACTCTAGATAATTAAAAACTTATCAAATATGATTTGTGATCTGGACTGTTACTAATCATACCCAAAGTTTTAGACATTAGAAAAAACTAGAAGAAGATTGTTGGATGTCTATTTTTTTTCCATTGATCAATTATAACTAACAGGACTGTTTTTGATATGTTAATAATTAAAACTAATTGAGTGAGACTATTACTAATAATAATCCAAAGTTTTAGGCATTAGAAAAATCTAAAAGAAGATTCTCTGATGTGGTTTCCTTTGGATGATCTCATAACTAAAGGGACTTTTTCTATATATTAATTGTATGTGAAAGGAATTATATTAAAAAAAAATGTCAAAGGAAGATGAACTGAAGTTGTTTTGTCTCTTCACTTGTGGCACTGGTAATTGAGCTTGTACGTTTGCTCCAAGCATGCATTGTATAGCTATTTCCTTATCTTGTTCTCATTGTAATAGTAGTTATTTAATGTCTAATTTAGAATGATGAAAATTTTATTTTATTTTTGAAATAAGAATAATAAAGAGATTGGGTAGGATTAAAAGCCCTTAGTTGTAGGCAGATGATTTAATCCTTGTGAACCATAGGTCCCACCTTGACCTTGCTGGATGTTCATATGACTACTTAGTAAAGTAATCCTTCCTCTCCCCAACAATTGTGGGTTAAGATGTGAAAGCTCTTTTCTCCTTGTATGAACAAGCGTAGAGTGAAAGAGGGGAGTTCAGAATCAATGTTTTAAAAAAGATAACCTTTTCATTATCATTTTTTTTTTGTTTTCTAAAGACTGCCTTGAAGACCATTGTTTTACCCCAATGATGGAAGATTGAATATCTTGGTATGCATGTAATTATGTAATTCTCCAGATGCAGATATTTGTTTATTTTCTTTTCTCTTGCTGCAGTTGCTGTTTTGTTTTTGTTGTCCTTTCATGGTGATTGGATCTTAATATTTTATCTTTTTTTTTTTTTTCACAGTTGAATAGGGTTGTTACAGGACCAAGAAATCCAGGAGTTATTGGTGATAGATCTGGATCTTATTCAAGGGAAAGTGAGTAGAACTATGCCTTTATATTGTGGTTATAATCTTGATTAATGAATGAAAGAGGTAATATTGATTGATATTTGAAAAACTGTAAAATTTTTTATTCCACTTTTTTACTTGCAACTCTTGCTCAAGCACTTCTCACCCCTTTCCCTAGATTCAAGATTCCTTGATGGCTCTTCTTTAAATGATATCCTTCTATTTATTTATTTATTCACTGAGTAGGACTTGAAACAGGGTGTTTCTGTGGAAGCCTTGGTTCTTGGTCTAGAAATTTGTACATATTGTCAATTTATGAGGCATTTCTTTTGGTACAAGTGTTGCAAGGCTTTATTTATTATGTTTTTAGTGGATGTAATAATGTTTTACGAAGATATATATTGAGTGTCTTCACTAAAACCTATTGGCAATAGAATGAAGTTGTAAATATTTCCCAACATAATCCATGTTAACTCCACTCATCACCCTTCCTGTAGGCCTAAAACTAATAACCCAAACAAATAGGCCAACTATGTGGTCAGTAAATATTGTTATTAAACAATGAATAACAAACAACAAACAACTTGGAGTTTGATACCATGTTAAGCAATAAAAACAATTATAGAGGGGTCTCTCTTATACTTAAGACTCCAAGATTCCCAAAATAGCCAATTTAAGAGTTATTTTATGACCATTTAATAGAAAGTACTTGCATGTGCACAACTAATATCATCTTGAATTCTTTCATTTCAATTATTTTACATATTGTCTTCTTTGATATGGTCCAAGTGAAATTACTATATATATATATATATATATATATTTTTTTTAACTCAAAATTTTCATTGATCGATAAGGATTAGTAAAAGAAGACATAAATGTTATTGTTCTATGTTCTCAACTTTAATTAGGTATTCTCACTGGAATTGTATATTTAAATCTTAAGTTAGATTTTTAGATTGAATGGAAATTGTCAAGACCTCTGTTTTATGATTAATATTTAATTTTTATGTGCTATTTACTTGTGTGTTGGGAGCATGCGGATTAGAGATTTTGTTAACAAAGTTATGATTTCCAGAATTCTAATACGAAGCTACATGTAGTGATTGCACACGGAATAAAGTTCTGTTTTTGAACATGAGGCACTTTGCATTTGTGTCAATGTATGCTAATGATTAAGCATCATCCTTTTGTCTCTTTGTATGTCCCAATATTGTTTTATGCCATTTGAATAGACTTCTTTTAACATATGACTATGAGTGTTGTTAAGCTATGCATTAAGTTAACAAGCAGTTTGTTCATTTTTTTTTTTTTTTAAGTGGGAAAGGGCACCAAGGAGTTTCCAACCCTTGCACAAAGCTAAAACTTTTAGTTAAAAAACTTAGGAGGCCTAAAGCATCTTGCTTCTCCAAACATATAAAAAGGAAAAACCTAGAATGAACATAAACCACATATCTAGGAGCTTTATTGAGGGCAATTCTTCCTCGTTCAAAGTTCTTTATTGCATTCCCTTTATAGAAGCTAAAAAAATCGAGAGAGGGATGGACTCAATCACTTGCATTTTTGTCTATAAATGCATGCTCTTCCAAACTGATAGCTCCTTTACCATTCAACCTGCCGCTAGTCAAGTATTTAAGAGAGAGAAAGCTGAGGATTAGAGCTTTTGGCTCAATAAAAATTCAACAAATGAAAATGAAGTTTCTTTTGCCGATTGCACATAGATAGAATCTATTTGGAAGGATTTCTCCTCTTTTGGAGACTATCAATGGCAAAGTTTTCCCGGATGCTTTCTGTCTAAAGAAGGCAACCTTAGCCTTAACTTCTGTCTTGCAAACTGCCTTCGATGAAAAATGTTTTATACCACCCCAGCAGTTAATTATATTAAGTAATGCAACTTTATTTGTGGCTATATTCTCTTTAAATAGTTTTTGGTAGTATTTTCTTACATTTGCATTTTTTTTTTCCTGTTTTTCTGTCAGTTTCTTATTGTTTCTTGGATTATATGTAATTTTGGTTAAATTAGTCATCTCATTTTCTATTGATGCAATTAGCCTTACCCTCTTTGTGTTGAACCATTCGAAGCTTATGCTTTAATTAATGATTTCTCTCTTGCAGATGACTTTGGTCTCTTTGTTTTTCTTGCATGAACATGCTTGACATATTGCGGAGCCAACATTCTGCTGCCTTTTCTCTTTCTAGGCCGTTCAAGCTTATTGCTTTTATATTTTTCCAAAGTGTGCAAGCTCACATATGTTCTTGCTCTAGTCCTAACATGGTTTTATGGTGAATTATGTGATGTTGGATGCTTTTTTTTATTACATTTCTTTATTATTTCTATGTGAAGGTGCTTAACTAAAAGATTAACTAGACTATGATATTGCAGTTACTCTTGACTTCCTTTTCTTAACTTCTCATAAGATTAACCAGAGTATGATATTGCAGTTACTCTTGACTTCCTTTTCTTAACTTCTCGTCTTTTAAGATAACAGCATAGAATTTGTCATTTTTGTAAAATGCATGAATTGTTAATTAGAAGTTCCTTGTTAGTATCTGAGCTGTGCCCATTTGTTGAATAATGATTTTGTAGGATTTTATTCTTTTTAAAGTTAGCTTATACCTTATATTTTTAATTGCTTGTGATTCATGTTGTGAAAAATTCTTTTCAGGTTCATCTGCTACCGACTGGGCTCAAGATGGAGAGTATGTAAACTGGATGGATCAGCATATGTTTGATGTAGAAGATGCTCAAGAAGGCAAGAGATGGTCCTCGCAGCCACAACCTTCTTCTGCTCGTGTTGCAGAATCGAAGCCTTTGTATAGAGCTTCCTCATATCCGCAGCAGCAACCACAGCCACATCACTTCATAAGTGAACCTATTGTTGGACCCAAATCAACCTTCACATCTTTCCCTCCTCCTGGTAGCAGATGCCAGCAGTCTTCACCTGCTCACCTAAACATTCCTGCTCTTAGCAGTGGATCTCAGCCACCCTTCTCTGCAGCAAGCTTCTCTCCATTGTCCAACCCCAGTCTTCATCTGGCTGGTCTTTCTGATGGATTGCATTATGGTAGTAATCTATCCCGGTTAACATCTCCTGGCCTATCTTTTAGTAGCAGGTCACAAAATCACTGGGTTAACCACTCTGGTCTATTACATGTAGATCATGCTGGTCTTTTGCATAATATGTTGCAACAGCAAATACCTCATCAAAATGGCCTAATGTCCCCACATTTAATGTCACCACAACAGCAGTTGCAACAGCAGAGACTGCACCATTCAGCTCAACCATCTTTGGTGCATTTTGCAGCATTGCAATCTCAACTGTATAGTGCCTATCCTCCATCACAAAAAATGTTGCTTGGACTAGCTGATCTTAGGGATCAACGAACTAAACCATCCCAAAGAAACAGGCAGAGCATGCGTATTTCTCAGCAAAGCTCTGATACCGGTAGCCAGAAAAGTGAGAGTGGGTTGGTGCAATTCAGATCTAAGTATATGACTGCTGAAGAGATAGAGAGTATTCTTAAGATGCAGCATGCTGCCACGCATATTAATGATCCTTATGTAGATGATTATTACCACCAAGCTTGTCTTGCCAAAAGATCTTCTGGATCCAGGGCCAAACATCAGTTTTGCCCATCTCACGTGAAGGAATTACATTCTCGATCTCGTAACAGTGGAGAGCAGCATTTGCATCTCCATGTTGATGCACTTGGGAAGGTCCCCCTCTCTTCCATTCGGATACCTCGTCCTCTGCTTGAAGTCGATCCTCCCTTAGGTTCAGGTGATGGAGGTTCTGAACAGAAAACTGAGAGGCCTCTGGAGCAGGAACCTATGCTTGCAGCTAGAATCACCATTGAAGATGGTCTCTGTCTTCTTCTTGATGTGGATGATATTGACCGGCTTCTACAATTTATTCAAACCCAAGATGATGGAGCTCAGCTCAGACGGAGGCGGCAGATCCTGCTTGAAGGTATGGCGGCATCACTTCAACTTGTTGATCCACTTAGCAAAGGTGGGCATGCTGTTAGCTGTTCTCCCAAAGATGACATTGTGTTCCTAAGATTAGTCTCTCTTCCCAAGGGCCGTAAGCTCCTCACCAGGTTCCTTCAGCTTCTCATGCCTGGAAGTGAGCTTATTCGAATAGCATGCATGGCCATTTTCCGTCACTTGAGGTTCTTGTTTGGTGGTCTTTCTTCCGATCCAGAAGCAGCCGAGACAACTACTAATCTTTCAAAGACTGTTTCTATGTGTGTTAATGGCATGGATCTTCGGGCTCTTAGTGCTTGTCTTGTTGCAGTTGTTTGTTCTTCAGAGCAGCCACCACTCAGGCCCATCGGAAGCCCTGCTGGGGATGGTGCTTCTGTTATTTTAAAATCAGTTCTTGAAAGGGCTACTCAACTGTTAAGTCATCCTTCTGGAAATTGCAGCATGCCTAATTATGCATTCTGGAGGGCTTCGTTTGATGAATTTTTCACTCTTCTTACCAAGTATTGTGTGAGTAAATATGATACGATAATGCAATCAATACACAACCAGTCTCAGCCAACCACGGAAGGAATTGGTTCAGAGGCTATAAGGTGTGAAATGCCGTGTGAGCTACTGCATGCTAGTCTTCCTCACACAAATGAGGCTCAGAGGAAGCTTTTAATGGACTTCTCTCAGCGATCTGTGCCCGTGAATGGATCCAATTCCCATGCTGGGAGTACTAGCCAAATAAACTCTGAATCAGTGAAGGGTTAATAAAGGACAATGGTGTGGTAACGTGAAAATGCCCTGAACACTGCACTAGATGGAATGTGGGATGGGGGAGCAGAAGCAAGGTGGGATGTGTATTTACTGTAGAAGTCTGGTTTGGAGGGGCTAGTATTATCTGCATTACACTTTGGTTCTTGTTATGATCCCCTTCCCTTCCCCCCCGCCCCCCCTTTTTATCTGAAAAAAAAAAAAAGATCATTGGAGAGAAGAATCATAAGATTGGAAGTTGATGGAAGTTATAGTAACGCATAAATGTGGTATTATGATGGGAGTTGGGTGACTGGAAGTCAGTTCGGCTTCTGGGGAGCTTATATTTTGGTGCTCTGTTTTGAGACTCCAATACATGTGGATGTGTAGTGGGTTAGAATGTACAGGTGGAGTGATGGTCTTCTAACAGACCCTTTTGGAAACAAACTCCTTTTCTTTTATACTGTTTCATTACGATAAAATCTGAGGGAGTCTGATGATGCCCAAGTTCTCTAGTTTTTATCTATTTCTGGGAAACTGACGAGTTATTCAAATGGGTTACTCCGAGCAATCAGAATCCTGTAATAATTATCACTGAAAATGGGCGACCATGCAAAAAAACAGCCACCGGTGAAAGCAACAGGTTTCAATATCCTAATCAGAAACTAAAACAAACTGCACCAACTGTGCTATATGCTTTGGCAGAATTCAAGGACTGCAAACGCACATACCAAATACTTTTCACTGATCAGTGGCTTGTTAAGAATCTAAGTACTTGCCCATTTTGTCGACGTTCTGTCAACCAACCACTCAGACTTGACGCATCTTAGAGGGTGAGTTTAGATTTTTATTTATAGAATTCAAGAAAATTTATTAAAATAAATAATAATATAATTATAAATATTCAATATTAATAGCTTAATGTTTATTTATCTATTTGTTTTATTTTACATAATTAATTATGTATGTATCTTTTATTGCATTTATCTATTTACAAATAAATTTTTATATGTTTAATGATTATTTATTCAATTTTGTATTTACTTATTTATGTATTTTTTTGTATAATTATTTATAGTTTTATACTTACAAAGTATTTATTATTGTTTTAGCTATTTATTTATTACATTAAAGAAAAACAAAGGAAAATTAAAATTATTATTTATAGACAGAGAAAACGTAAACCAGCACCAGACTAAATTTTATTAAAAAAGAAATTTTACACTACCACTTTAGATGTATCTTGGTCCCTAATGAAGATTTTTTAATTAAAAGTTAATAATTTTAAAAAAGTATAGTAATTTAAAAATAACTGATAGCAATCCTAATTCTATTTGGTTCTGGACTAGTAATGGCAGTACTTGATTGATAATTCATATAGAAGTGGGACATTTGAAACAATTAAAACGGAAATTTTGGGTAAGTTTTTCTTAATTATATAATATCAGGATCGATCATACTGTTGAAGAAACCATGTCAACGCCACCAACTACTCCAAACCTTGAGGTTGAGACATCAATAAACCTCTTTTTGATTCTAGGTGTTATTGCTTCTTTTCTGATAGCAATAATTATAGTTTATATCATAAGTGCTTGCTACGAGAAAGCCAAGAGGCTGCTTCCACCCCAAGATATTGAAACTGGGGGCTTTCTCCCCCAAGCCATGCAAGGCCAAGGCCAACCGCGGCGGCAGCAGCAGCAGCAGGCTTCAAAGCCGATAATCCTGGCGGGGGCTGTTGTTATATACAGGAATATTAAGGAAGAACCAGAAGAAGCAAAGTACTGCAGCAACGAGTGTGCGATATGCTTGGAAGAGTTCAAAGAAAGGGATCGTTGCAGGATTTTATCCAAGTGCAAACATATCTACCATATTTGTTGTATAGATCGGTGGCTGCTCAAGGAGTTGCATTGCCCGCTTTGTCGTGGTTCTATCCATGCTACAGTACCAACTAATGTTCAAACTGCTTGATTTTTTTTAAATATATTTGAATTATTCAAGATTGAATTTTTTACTGAGATTAAAAGTTAACCAGAAAGTAAAAATTCAGCATTATCATATATCACAATATCCCATATATATATATATATTAGTTTTCATGACACGTACTATGCATGTGATTTTTAACAAAATTATAATTATAATATCTATAGCTATTAATAAAAGTAGTAGTCCCCTCTTTTTATTTTTTTGTCCACGTTTTTTAAGTCATTAAAAAAAACTGAAAGTTAATTTGAGTCATGAAAATTATTTTATTTTGTTTTCTCCGCCTCTAGCTGTCCTCTCTCTTTTTCTTTTTGTCTTCATCCATTGTGCGCTGCTTTTCTTCTTCAAATCCGACCATCAGCAATGCCGATGCATCGGTCATCTCTGTTGGGGTCTCTCAAGGCCAAATGCTGAGTGGAGCTGGACGGTTTTAGCACCGTGGAGGTGGGTGTTGAAGCCTGGAATCGCAGGTGAAGCTAAGATGTTGAAAGATATGATGATGGATAGCAATGCTTAAAGAATGTTCTATGGATCCCAATGAAACCGTTCAGAGGCTCCTCCTTCGGGATACTTTTTTTCTCTTCCTCTTTTCATTTGAAGTATCTTTCTATCTAAGTTTTCTTTTTCTTTTTGGATTTTTTAAGGGGTAGTTTTTTTTTTTAGGTGGTTGCTAAAATGGGGTTTTGATATTTTGTTATATGTGTTTTTGGAGTCTATTTTTTTTTTTTTTATCATAATTTCATTTTTGTTGATTTAGGTTTTGTTGTTGGGGACTGTAGTAGGTTATTTTTTATTTTTGGGTGTGATGAGTTTGCACCATTCATGGGATTATTAGATTTTGATTTTATGTGTATTTTTTTATAATTTTTTCAATCCTTTATATATATGTTTGTATCTATAAATGTCAAGTTTTGGTTTTTGTTTTTTTTTCTTTGCAAATTACGTGATTGTTGGTTTTCATATACCTTTTTTTTAATTTTCTTTTTTTTTGGAGTTAGTTTAGTATTTAATGTGTCTGTGTGATCTTTAAAAGTAGTATTTAATGTGTCGGTGTGATCTTTACAAGTAAAAGAACTTGGCTCTCGAAATGGGGTTTTGATTAAATTGCTTCTTAAATGGTGTGTCTGCAGCAAATGTTGTTCTCTTGAAGCTCATTGTTTAATTATTCCTGCTTTCAGTTCATTAGTTAGGACATTATGATCTGTTGGTTCTTTTTATGAAGATTTCATTTTCAGTTATTGATTACAAAAGGTTTTCAGTTTCAATGTTCTCACTCTTTTGCTTTCCTACTTATTCTTAGGCACTTAGGTACTAAATGTGGTGTTTATTGTTATAACACTAATTCACATTCTAATGAATTGTGAAATGTTATCCATGTTAAGTGAAGCTTTTGGTTAGCATTCAACTCCACATCAAGTGTTTTGAGGAAGTTTAATGTGGTGATAAGCATCTGCAAAAAGCTGTGGATTCTTAACCCTAAGGAATTTTACTGTTTTGGTTGTTGGTTTAGCCACTATATCAATACCGTTAGTTTTTCCCATGTATTTGTTATTGTATGTTTTTATTCCTAGCTGTTTATATTTCGATGTTTTTAGTTTCTTCAGTTTAGTATCAACTTGAGGATTGATATCATATTATGGCCTTTTATGTACTGTAAGCTTATTAGGTTTCTCCACTTCATATGAGTTACCACTTGGTTTTGAGGAAAGAGATGTCAGATATATGTGGTTCTTTGAAACCTTTGGGCATGTAATTGTGTCCATTTACTTCAAGGGTAATATAATGTACAAATATCAAAGTTTGCCCAAGATTACTTGAAACAACTGAAAATTTTGTTGGGAAAAAGGGTTGGTACAACTTATTGATTAATTAATGATATTACCATTTGCTTCAGCTAATTGGCTCCTAGGTATTTCATGCATGGCAAAGTAAATGACAAGATTGATGTTTATGCATTTGGTGTTGTGCTGCTTGAGTTACTAGCTGGAAGAAAGCCAATAAACAATGACTATCCAAAAGGCCAAGAGAGCTCGGCCATGTAGGTATGTCCATTTCGCTCATGTGGCTCATCATTGTTAATCCACCTTTCAGTTTGGTGTCAAAAATAAAATTTTCCATTTCCAAGCACAGAAACATATTAACAATGTTGTGAATTGGGGTCATCAGCTTCCTTTCAGAATGTTTGTAATATAGTCATAAACATGATTATTTCCACTATAAAAGTCTTCCTCACTTTACTGAAGTTCTTTCTGTTTCTGTGCTTATGGATGTTTGTTTGAGCATGTTTGGTATCATGAGAAAAACAGTAATGCTGCACAATTGGTAAAGATCAGACTATCAAGCTTTGGGATTGAATAGAATATACAACTAAAGTTAAAGATTTTTTTGTTATGTTATTGCAGCAATTTAGGGTTTAGGAATTATGATTGGGATTATAGATGGATGGATTACCCACCACAGGATAGAGATTTGAAACACCTTTGTGACGAATCAATGGCTACTTATAACGGTCACTTGGTCTTGCGTACTTCTATTCGCTATTACTTTTCCCCAGAATCCAGGTGAGTGTCATTGTAGTTTCTTTCTCTTTAGCTGAAACTTAGGTGATCAATTGAATAATAAAAAGCTGTTTGCTTGATATCAGTCAAATACTTTGTCAAATCAACTTAGAAATAAGTGGTTTCTCATTTTGGTTAGCAAGATATTTTTCTTTATCTCACTATTGACTCTAGTTAAAGTATTTATTTGGGTGTCATCAATTTCTTGAATCTGTTATTGCAACACTGGTCAGAAGTACATTTACACTAGATCTTATGATTCTCGCATTTATATTTATGATGTGGTAAGTAACCAAATTCGTTATTGCTTTTCCTATAGTTTGCATTTAGAGTCACTATTGCATACACCATTGATATATTGTCAAAATATGTATATGTACGAATATCAGGCTCTTTGTTAGATTCAAAACTGTTAATTGGTGGAGTTTTGTACTGGATGGCTATATTTGTAAAGTGCATTCTCCTGAATTGTAACAAAAAAAAAAAAAATCTATTACCATCTGATAAAGATGCTTGCAGTGGCCAATGAGTGATTATGCTGGCAAATGAATGTCACTTAACGACTGCAGCATAATATGCTAAAGCCATTGCATGAATACCTGAAACTTTTGGCTTGTGCTATACAGTGAAATTCTTTTTTATTGAGGATAAAATGGTTTCCTTACAAGTAATTGGAGCCAAGTTGCAGTACTCAAGCACCATACATCACCTGTAAGAGATTGTAGTTGGCACCCGCACTACCCCATGTTGGTTAGCTCTTCTAGGGATGGGGATGTGGTTAAGTGGGGATTCCCTAGCGATGGAGATGCACCTACTTCTGTGAGTGAGGGGAGAATCTAGAAGTGCCAATTGGGTTTATATGGATGTTTACATGTTTGTCGTATTTACTTAAAGAATTCATACTTTAAAAATGCTAAAGGAATGCCTTTTGAATTTCAAGAGAGGTGGTATGATTACCTAAAGGAGCTTCAGTGCCAATAACACTTGAGGCTCTTGAGTATGAACTATTCCACTTTAATATAGGTTGGTTTATTGATTTTTTTAATAGTTTTCGGTGTTTTATATGACATAAATGAATGTGAAATTGAATACATGTGCATTATTGTATTTATATGGTATATTGTTATTAAAATTTTTTGTTATCTTACTAATGGGGATTCTTTTTGGGATTTTTTTCTGGAGATTTGAGCTGCCCTTTTTGCTTGGTATGTAAGAGAATTTGCGATTAGACGCTTTCCATAAGCTTAGCAATACCAGAGTCCAAATCCAATTCTATGTCTTTGATGGTATGTATGTTTTAACTTTACCATTCTTCATGTAGAAACTTGAATCATGACTGCTATGCTCATCTTCTTTTATGTTTAATATGTGTTATCTGCATATTTTAAATTTATCAACAATTATTACAGCTGACTTGTTTGATAAATGCCTCATGGATACCGTTGGTTTGTTGAGTTGGATTCTTCATAATCATCAGTTTCACAATTTTAATTGTCTACAAGACTAATTCTCATAAATTTTATTGTTCTGCATGGATTTGCAGTTAAGAACTTAGTATTGGGAAGGGTTTGATGATCATATTTAAGCTTATACTTTTGAGCAACCGTTTATTGAGCTGAACAATGGAGAAGGAGAACTAACAGTTGAGTTTTTACATAATCTGAAGGTAATTATGGTAGATCTTTCTTTTTTTCTCAAGTTATTAGGTATATTTCTTCATGTTGAATGCTGAGTTACAGCTAGGGTTACTTATTTTTTTGTGATCCAATGATGATGACAAACAAATAAGTCTTCAATGAATAAGTTTAATATCTCATCATCATTAACTTTAACTAATGTAAATATTCAAAACATAAATAATTGCATAACTATTTCTCTTATACATTTTTCAATATTTAAATTATTAATACATAATTTTATTTTACTTTTGCAACTTAATTATAAGTATATAATTTTATTTTATTCTCGCAATGAAGTATGGACTTGAAATCTAGTAATTAAATAATTTTAGTATTTGTTTGTAGTAATAAAATTGAAATAATTATTGTAATACTAAATTAAATTGAAAATGTAAATTTATATTCAAAAGCAAATAAATATAACTAAAATTTTAAAATGAAGTTTTAATAAAAATAAATATATAGTTTTTCTTTATTTTGATTTTTTATTTAAAAGTTTTTTTCAAGTATTCTAGTGTTAGGTTATTATCTCATTAATTTTTATACATTTTTTAAGTTTTAGCTTTAGGATTGTGTTCTATCATAATCAAATCTAGTTATGCACTTTTCTTTTTTTTTTTTACTTTATGCTTTTTTTTTAGATTTCTTATTAGTTCTTTAGTGGTGGGTTTATATATTCATTTTTATAAATTTATAAGGTAATCAATCATCATTAAACTTATTCAAGCTTTTACTTCTCATCTATTTGCTACTGAAAATTTAAATTTTTAATTTTGATTTAAAATCAAATTATCGTAAAATTGTTGTTACTTTTAGTAAATAGCTAGCATGGTCTCTAAACTTTAAAAAGTTTTAATTGAGTTCTCAATT